TTGCTTTGGCCCCTGGCCTGTCAGTCACCTCCTCTCTGCCACGGCTGCAGACTCCCAGTGTTTGTGTGCAGTTTGGAAAAAGTTCTATGTGTGTGTGCTGCAAGCCCGTTTGTAATATGCATATAATGCATTTATAGTATAAACTTCTCAATGAAAAGTCGGTCATGTAATTTAAGTAGATATATTTAATGACATTGTACTACCCCTCAAATTTCTTTACAGGCTGACTTTTACTTCAAAAGGGTCAAACCTTGTTATAATATTTTTAAGAAGTTTCGACGCTTTGTTTTCACTCATTTTTAAACGCTTAAAATACACAGTGACGACCGTGTGCTTTAAAAAATAATGTAAAAAAAAAAAAAAAAAGTGGACGACACATCACTAAAATACAAGGAAAAAGAACATCCAAAGTGAAAAAAAAAAGAAAAAGACTCGCAAAAATGTCCAAAGCCATTGGCGTTTATTTCGTATTTATGTGTGCGGTTTGTTTATGTCTGGTTTATTCTAAAAACGAGCTATCACGTTACGTCGAATGCGCCTGCGCTAAAATATGACGCCATATTGGAGAAGTCGTTCAACAATGATGACATTGGCATGTTATTTATATTTATATTGCTCTCTAGATTTAACAGTGTAAAAGCTGGCAGTGTATTAAATCAAGCTACTTCAACATACATTGCAGGATTTGTTGCGTGCTATGTGTGTAAAGCATCTTTCATAAGAACCCGTGTCGTTGCCCTGAACCTACTTGCCATTTTCCCCCCCTTTCTTTTTCGTCAAGTCTCGCGAGAACTTCCCTTAGCGCGTTTCCTGACTAACTGCTACAGGAGCTGGTGAAGACGGGGATAAAGAAACGACCACACATGTAAAATAATTTATTTGTTTACACATACGTTTTAGCGACGAGTAACATATTTATATGCAGCAGTATATTTTTGATACCGTGTTATAGCGCAGGGTTGTTAGCTTGCTAATCAGTTTGTCGTGTTGCACGTTTGACCGCTGATCTGTCCTACGGTTGGCCTGCTAATTCTGCTAACTGCTAATGCTATAGTTAACGTTTACACGGAAGATCGAGAGCAGAAATACTTTTTTTTTTTTTTTTTGCTAAAATACTGTCCAACACCTAGTTGATAAATATTCTCATCTGGATGTATTAACAAGTAGATAATATATTTAAGGGCGTAGTCACTTAAATTATGTGAATGAGTTTAAAGGTTACGTTAGCTTGCAGTCAACACTTTCGATACTGTTAGCTTATCGGAAGAACCGCTGTGTTAGCTGCGTGAATTAAGAATAGCTTCTGTTTTAACCATTAAGCACAGGTAAGTTGTTACCTGAAACACACACACACACACAAAAAAAACACTGCTTATTATTATTTCAGTTTCTAGTTATTAAAATATGTGTATTTTTAGGGAACATGTCTGGTTAAAATATTTGCATCAAAGCTGAACATCATAAAAAAACAACTTAGTTTAACGTATGGTAATAAAATCAATTGATAAAGTCATGTAAATATAAGACTGTAAAAATGCGATTTTTACCTTACATAATTTATGAAGTGTTGAGCTTTATTAAGCAGAAACATTTTAATTTATTTAACTGGCATAAGGGAGCAGACAGTGTCTACTGCTCATATGTCGAGCACTAGAGAGCTGATATTTTAAAGTATATATTTTATGTTTTGCCTTCTGTGTGATTTATTTTTTATGGCAGAAAGGATGTCTTCAAGTGAAGAGGGTTATGTGGTCCGGATCAGAGGACTTCCCTGGAACTGCACACAGGAAGAACTGGCCAATTTCTTCTCTGGTAGAGCAAACTTGCACTTTTTTAAAGCTGCGTTATAAAAGTTAATTGTTACATGGCATTAATCATCTTAATTTCATATTGACTGTCTTCAGAAGTTTATTCTTTTGCAATTTAAAGCATGACGCCTTTTTTTTTATCCTGCAGGAAACTGTTGAACAATAAAATTATTAAATTTTAACTGTTTTTTTTTTTCATATGACAAAGCGATGATTTGTGAGAGGGCAGTCGTTAATAAGCTTTTACTCCTATTTTAAGTATAATAGACTTAAAGAGTCAGTTTTGATTGGTCATTGTGATCGTGGTTTTTTTTTGTACTTTATTTAGTAGTCTTAAACAGAATAAATGAATGGCTTTAGTTGTTTTAGGCCTTTGCTGTTTATTTTTTTCGGTGTTCAAAGCAGTTTTAAAGTTAGTAGTTTCACTACAATCCAGTTAACTGAAGTGAACTTACATTAAAGCTATACCACCTGTTTTCCATACTAAAAACATGTTTCCATATTGGGATCACAAGAACACTTTAAATGTGGAAATATTTAAACCATACTAATTATGTAATTCCTTTTGACATGCAGACTGTGACATCGTGGGGAATGTAGATGGAGTGTGTTTGACCTATTCTAAAGATGGCCGTTCCACCGGTGAGGCATTTATAGAGCTGAAAACATCAGAAGATTACAAGAATGCCCTTGCCAAGGATCGTAATTACATGGGGCACAGATACATAGAAGGTAAGTATCTTATGCTCTAGGATGAATGTCTAAAAGTTGTGCTGAAGTTTACTTTTTTCCCCGATAAGGAATTTTCTTTTAAAGTCCATCCATCCATTATCTTTTACCCGCTTCTTCCATTTTGGGTCACGGGGGTTGCCGGTGCCCATGTCCAGCAATCACTGTGCGAGGGGCGGGGTGCATCCTGGACATGTCGCAAGTCCATCACAGGGACACATGGAGACAATCATTCACTCGCCCACTCACACCTAGGGACAATTTAGAGTTACCAATCAGCGTAACATGCATGTTTTTGTTCTGTGGGAGGAAACCGGAGTACCTGGAGAAAACCCACGTGATATTAATGATTTACAGTTCATGTGGGTTCTGTAGCCTTACTCATCAGTTCACTACAGAGTTGGACTTGGAGCCGGGTAAATGTTGTTTGTCAGTTATGAGAAATTCCTTGTGTGTGCACTATGATAATGATTGTTTTCCTTTTAGCTTAAATGATCACAAATGGCAAATATTTGATGTTTGTATGTCCATCTGTTTGTGTGTTGAATCAGTGTTTAAGTCAAAACAAAGTGAAATGGACTGGGTGCTGAAACGTAGCGGTCCTTCTGACAGCTGCAATGGCTGCGTGGTGAAATTAAGAGGACTGCCCTTTGGCTGTAGCAAAGAGGAAATCGTCCAGTTCTTTTCAGGTACATGAAGACAGAAATATTTTTTGGAGTTATTTGTTATAAATTGAAGTACACTGCATGTTGATGTAAAATATTTTTTGCATACTCGTTGGTCACGTAGATTTTTAAGTTAAACGTTAGTTGCTAGCAATTGTTGACAAAATGATCTTAATGTGCTAAAGGGCAAGTAAACAAAGAAAGGCCAACCAATTAAGGGAAACTTAAATATATATACTCAATGTGCACATTATTGATTACTTCGTTAGTACTATTACCTTCCCAAAACTAGTACTGAAAAAAAAAATATATATATGTAATGCAAGATATTGGTATAAATAAAATTTCAGCAGATACCTTCATTTAAGTCTAATGACTGGATAGTTTTTAGAGCATTGGAGTGTAATTTCTATTATTAATATATCTAAACTTTTTTTATATAAATGTAAAACCTTTAATGTACAGTGCCAATGTAATGTACCCAGTGCCGTCATTTAAAATTTAAGTTACTGTTTCATAAAAAGTTACACTGCAAACTAGGGCTGTGGGATATATCAAACATACTCGATGTATCGCAAGATTTTCTATTTACAATTTATAAAATGGCTCTATTGCAACCATAGATTATTATTAGACTTGAAAATCCATGTAGTGCTTTTTCTCCCATCTGCACCTCCAAGTTCACACAGCCCCCTCCTTCTCCCTCTCTGAATACAAACACAGCACCTCGCCCGTGCGCGCTACCCCCGCCTCCTGCTTCTCCAGGTGTGTGTGTAGGGGGGTGGGTTTAACATGTAAGTAAACAGAGGAGAGCAGCTTAGCTGCTGTGCAAAAAGTAAAACAATGGCTGTTATTTGGAGATGTTTGGATTTAAACTGTCAGATGAGCAGCAGAAAAATGTTTTCTTTAGACAATGCCGAAAACAAGTCCTGACAACAGGTCAGAACTAGAAATCTTTTTCACCATTTAAAACAGCGCTATAATTTAAGTTATATGCTACAGCTCCAACTGTGTTTTCAGCCTCCTTTCTTAAAACAAAGCACGGGTCAAAACATTTATTAGCCGTGCTGTGCCTTATGAGAGGAACAGTGAGAGATGCCGCGACATTAATAAATCAGCAGCTTATCATATCAAAGACACAGTGCTTAGCGGCTAACAAGATGTAAAATACTAAAAACAGGAACATGTCTGCATTGGTTTGTGCCATGAACTTAGCAGATGTTTGAATATTGAGATAGATATTGTATATTGCGATTTATCTTAAAAATAATGATATATTAATTTTGGTCCATATCATGCAGCCCTACTTCAAACAGCACTTAGATCAAGGCTTTCCACCTTGTTATTGCTTTACAACTAAAATAAAATGTTTGTAGTTGAGTCACAAACATTTTGCCACTCATCATTCAAATTGATTAATATGACTTTTTTTGCTATGGCCTAGAGCATATGTGTCAAACTCAAGGTCTGGGGGCCAAATGTGGCCCTCGTTGACATCTTATCTGGCCCCTAAGATGTCATTTTAAATGTAAAACACTTTTGTCACTTTATTTTTTTCAGTAATCTTTGTTGTAAACAACTGCAACCAATAAAAGATGTTGAGTATCTAACTTGAGTTAATGTAGATTCTGAAACCGGCCCTTAGTTTGAAAAAGGTTTTCATTTTGGCCCCTTTTGTAAATGAGTTTGACGCACTGGTCTAGAGGCCGTAACACTCATCATTGTTTGCTTATGTTCATGGTTTCTGCTCTGTTCATTAAATATTAACTTTCTCATATGATTCTTCTAATATCTCTTGTGAAAGGGTTTAATAAAAGAATGAGCTGGGCTGGTTTGTTAGAGGACCGACAGTCCCATAAAACTGATCTGGAGTCTGTATTATGACACAGAGCCTCAACTTCAAATAATACTAAGATTTAAATGGAAGGGAAAAAACTATTCTTGTAACTATTTCAAACATACCGGTAGTTAAAACAAAATTCATTGTAATCTATATTGTAGAATAAAATGTTGCATCAAAATATAACTTGTAAACTGATTCCAAGCCTGTTTTTATTATTATTATTATTATTATTATTATTATTATTATTATTATTATACAAGTGTCAAGCAAGTTTAAATTCAGACTCATGAGATTCTCACTCTTAATGAAGTTTTACCAAATACTACAGTTATTGTTTAATCATGACACATGAATCCTGAAAGCTCCACTGATGCAGTGGGTGTTGTTCACTCATTCCTACCAGTCTACCTACCGACCTATGTATTTATGTGTGCTTGGGTTGAAGGGTTGAGAATCGTGCCAAATGGGATAACTCTGCCAATGGACTACCAGGGGAGGAGCACAGGGGAAGCCTTCGTGCAGTTTGCCTCAAAGGAGATAGCAGAAAAGGCTCTGGGGAAACACAAGGAAAAAATAGGGCACAGGTGGGACAGATGGGAGAGGGACGGGCTGGACTGGGTTGGGTTTCTATTTCAGCATTTGATGGGTGATCTATTAGAATGATTATGATATCAATGAGATTGGTTCTTCTTTCATTGACCAATAAGTATGGGCTGGTTTGTGGATTAGAAATGTTGGTAATAACGTTGGGTGGGGAATTAAATATTAACAAGGTTTTGGGGGGTTTAATGCTAAAAGGCAAATTTTCAAGCTGGTGTGGACATTTTATGTTTTAAACTGTTTAGTGTTAGACAACACCTGAAAATAGATGATTTATCAATAGTTTTTTTTTAATGCTGAGATATAGTTTACAGTGATGTAGGGATCAGGTTTTGCTTCTACCAGCAAACATCACAGTGATGCTGAATTAGAACAAATTAACACAAAGATCTTTTAAAGACGTGTTTACCTGTAGGTAGCAGTAGTACGGTTGACGTTGATTTTTTTTTAATTGCATTTGTAATCCCAGCTAACAATGATATGTTTTTTTTAAGGTTATTATAGACATTCAGACTACTATTAAAATGTTTATCTTATCCCTGTGTCAGTCATTTGTTTCTGTAAGCAATATTAAGCCATTTCTAGGTTTTAACCCTCTCCTGTGCTTGCCTTTTATCCCATGGACCTCTCATGTTGCAGGTACATAGAAATCTTTAAGAGCAGTCGCTGGGAGGTCAATGGCCAACAGGAAGATGTTCCCCGGCGGGGAATGGGAGGCCAGAGACCAGGGCCTTATGACAGACCTATAATGTCAGGCCCAAAGAGTGGGCTTTATGGGACCAGTCGCAGTGGGTCTCTGATGGACAACATGAGGGGTGCAAGTGGTTATGGAGGAGGTACACCGACATTTATATACATGTTACTGATTTGAATCTCATTTAACAAATGAGCCCCCCCTAAGTTTTCACCTTTTCTAAAGAAAGCATTCACAAATGGGTTTTCTGTCCCCACAGTAAGTTTTATATAACTTATATAAAACAATCTTATCTAGTTTCCCATTTCTTGCTTCTGTCAATAAATTTTAATGGTCCAAAAAAAAGAAAAGCATTGATTTAGCTTTTATGTTTTTGATGTTTGTTGTAGTAAAGTTTTCTCTTTTTTGCTTCGTGTCTAGGTTACAGTAGCTTTGACAACTACAATGGTTTCAGCAACTACTGTTATGGTAGCAGCATGTTTGATGAGCGAATGAGAGGAGAGCGGGGAATGAGAGGTAAAGTTCGAACATTAATTACCTTTGGGAGTTTGGAAAACAAGCATGCCTCCAGTTTTGTGCAACTATTGCAATTATTGATTTATGTTTGTTTATATATTGGTAATAAATTAGCATTTCAAAGACTTGTAAAGATTTACAGAGCGGAACAACAATTTAAAACTACTATTTTTTTGTTATGATTAAGACTAAACCAACATGAGTTTTATCCAATGAGGATTTTACCTAAAAAAATATGTGTGTGTGTGTGTGTGTGTGTGTGCGTGCGTGCGTGCGTGCGTGTATATTTATTTGGAACGTGAAGACTGAGTATTTAAATAAGATGTTTTAATAAAATCTCATATCGTGTTGTTACATTCTGTTAATGCATTTTAAAACTGTAATGCTCATTGTTTCTTTCCCATCAGGAATTGGAGGCCATGGTTATGGTGGACAGTCTGATGGTGGCTCATGTTATTACAGTGGCCATTTGGTGCATATGAGGGGCTTACCGTTTCGTGCCTCTGAAGGAGATATTGCAAAAGTAAGAAGACGAGCTTAATTTAAAAAATTTCTTTCAAAAATATTAACCATGGCATCCTTCAATAAGTACCAGCAAATTAAACTTTTTGTCAGAAAAAAAGAGAGAGAGGAGGGGATTAATATCCCTCGGGCTATTGTTGTTACGCCGTACTGTTTTACATTATTTGTGTTCAGTGTATATCTTAGATCCTTATATACCGGTTTTTTTTTTTTACTTTATATTTTTGCTATTGGGTGCAACTGGGACCCTGTGTACATGCTTTTGTTCCACCTCATGTACAACGTTTGATGAAACGACAATAAAATTGACTTGAACTTGAAAAAGTAATGAAATCTTCTCAAATATTTCTTGGATTCCAGTAGTTAAAAATAATGTGCCAAAAATTGTACACTTTCATTGCATTTTTGTACACAGGGAAATGTGCTGAACTTTTTGTTCCTCCCTCATGTTCTGTGATTTTTGGCTCTGGTGTATTTTTGAATGTGCATGTCGTCGTCTCTTTAGTCACAAAACTCTCATCAGTAAAGTAACAATATCAAATGGGTTTATTTACCAGATTAGGTTGAGGATTTTGATCATTCCAAAACCTGCAACTTCTTGAGCAGAATATTTTTATTTTTATCATATATTTATTCCTGGTGTTTTTATTTTTTATTTCAGTTCTTTGCTCCTTTGAATCCACTGAGAATTCACATCGACGTGGCGCCTAATGGCAAACCAAGTGGAGAGGCAGATGTGGAGTTTCGCTCCCATGAAGATGCTGTGGAAGCCATGTCTAAAGACAAAAACCACATGCGTATGTGTCTGTTTTTCCTCCCTTTAACGTTTTGTGTCTTGTACTTTGACTTTGGTGATATTTAACTTGATTTAAAATTCACAGCTTGTTTAAGACAAACACTATTTCTGCCTCCTTAGCTTGTTTCATACAGGACAACACACAAATGACTTCCAGGACTTTTTAGATGCTTTGGCTCTGACTGGTAGTGAGGCGGTCAGGCGGAAATATTTTGTTGTAAATTCATCAAAGTTTCTGCCAATGACTGCTGCAGGTGTTACAGATAATACTAAAGGCAGTAAGACAGCATTAAACAGAGGGCCAGGTTGATCAGGGTGAATGATGTTCTGTTTCATCCCACAGAGCATCGTTATATTGAGCTCTTCTTGAACTCAACATCCAGGGGATTGTCTGAAATGAGTGAGTTCCCTTTCAAGCATTTGTAAACCAGTTAAGCTTGGAATAAATTACTGATACTCTAGTCATGAGAAATACCTCTATTTTTTTACAAGCTTTTCTATTGTTTTAGGTCGTGGCAGTTACTACGGTAACTCAGGAGGCGGCGGAGGCTCACGAAGCAGCGGGCTACGAGGACTGTACTGATGCTGTCACTGATCCATCCTGGCTTTTGTTTGCATTTGTTAAAACCACATTTAATCAACTAGCATTTCCCTAAGGAGGAAAGCTGATGGGAAGTCCCTTATTTATGCGACAAATTTATTTAGTGCAGTACCGAAGTACAACTTTACAGACGTCTCCAATCAGCAGCACTATTTTCCACATCATACCGAAACCAAATGAAGAACAAAGCAGCTTCTCACTGTTAATTTGTAGAAACTGTAATGTGTGTTGGACCATGCAGGACATCTTTTTCCCAATTTTTTGTGACAATTGGCTATTGTTTTTACGGTATTAACACAATTATAAAAAGATGTTGCAGTTTGCAATGAAAGGGTGCATTTTCTTGTAATAAGAAATCAAACATTTTTAGTGTTCTAAATTGACTCAGTTCAGAAAGTTTTCAATGCAAAAAGCTGAACCAAACTTTGTTTAGAGACTAATTGCTGTGGCGTTCGTTTAATGGAAGTTAGCTGGTACTGCAGCATAGTCACGTGGAATGTGATCGCTCATAATGTAACTTGTATATGTGAGGGATAATTACAAACCTTTCTTTACATAGGATTGTTTTAAGTCTGGCTTTGTTTATTCTAGTTTTACTTTTTTTCTTTGTAAGACCATCTTGACACACTGAAGAAATTTGTATTCAATTTCAGATCAGCTTTCCTGGTTTGAATTCTTTCATAGTTGATGCAGTGTGCTTTTTATAAATGTTTTCACAGTTCTTTACAAAAAACTTCAGTTGAATATTGTTCCACTCCCAGTGAGAGGAGGTGAAACAAAATCTCTATATTTGAGCTGTAACATAGCTTATGAAGCTGTTGTACATTTGCTTAATAAATTTTATATGGAACTCTTTGTTTCCCATACTTGGATGTCATGTGTGAAGATGAACCAGTACGAGTTTTAAAAGGAATAACTTCAAGGGCAAAAACAGGAAGAAACAATGTGTCAGTGTTGGACCCCATAAATGATAGAAAACATTAAATACAAGTTAAAGACTAGAGTAAATGTAAAACTTATGTAGTCAAGAGAACAAAGCATTTTGTCAATAAATTAAATTTTAGTGAATGATTTAGCTCAAATATTAACAGCACATATACAATGCGTTGTATCAATACTGTACATGTCTTAGTTGTTTTTAACTGGGAGATTTACATGGTCAGCATTGCACAATAAAAAACTGATGTACCGCTTCTGTAGAGAAATATTCTCACGTCAAAACAAGCTGTATGGAAATTAATACTTCCAGTCCATACCAAGTCTCACATTGTAAACAGTAAGTTCAAAACCAGCATATGGACTTTACCTTTTAAAAACCATCACTCAGACTTAAAACGAAGTTCAAAGGTTCAAACTTGTAAGAAATGAAGCAGTAACTTTTTTTTCTATGATATCTGATCACCACTCCACAATGACTTAAGACAAGTTACCTGATATGTGCACAAGTTTAGGTGATTTAAAAAAAAAAAAACTGATTGGCAAATGGTTCTTTAAGCAGAAACCAGTGGACTGAATCTGTTGGTCTTGGATCTTCAGTAGCATCCACTGCATCATCGTAGCTTTATTCTCAACTGGCTTGCTACCATGAAATGTTTTATGTGCACAATATAATAAAGGTACAGGGTTTATTTTGGCAACGTGACAAAGAAAGGTGGTAATATTCACTCTTTATAGTTTAAAATGGCACAATTAAAAGTAAACTTCCTGTCAAAGTCGGCCTCATCTAGAAGAGTGTCGACAGAGCTCAGCCTACTGGAAGTTTAAATTTCAGGACTTACTTGCCCCAAAGTACGATGAGATGTGTCCAGCAGGCCTTTCTCATACAACAAACTTCAAGTAGTGCCATTAAACTAAAGTAAACCAAGACTGCAAAAAAAGGTTGAATCATGTCATCTGGACTTCGTTTTTTTGTCCAGATGACATGATTCAACCTTTTTTTGTTGTTATATACCTGGATGACTGAGAAAACAAACTTTGTGTAAACCAAGACTGGTTTCAGTTTTTGGACCAGATGATTTTCACAGGTTATTGATAACTACTCTCTCAACATGACTGGATTTAACAAGTCAATTTGGCTTAATTTTGAGAATTTGTAAATGTTTCATTAAGCAGTTAATTTCTCACACACACAAATCAGGCTATAAAGAGTTGATGTTTGTAGTTTCAGGTTTATCCCATGCATTGTGATGAGAGTACTGTAGACATATTGGGTTTGGTTCAAAAACCCATCTGCGTTTTGCAGAAGTCAGTGCAATTTCATTTTCAGTTCTTTACAGTTTCTCCTTTCATAACCAACCTTAGTGATCCTCCAAAGCACTAACGAACAGTCTGCTGTTCAGCTTTTAATATTTCTCCCTGTTGAGTCTTTAAAGTTCAGTTTTACTGCCCGCTATCAAATATACTTTGACATTAAAGATTGTAATGTTAAAAATTCTAACTCATCTGTAATAAAGTATAACATTTTGGCCCCCATTATATCAAACATACTGCTTCCTGTTTCTGCAGAGCAACTGTAGAAACAGGCTTGTAAGTATGATGCAGTCACATCTCATTTGACTTAAACACGCAAATGACACATCATAAACTTTAGTGCATGTCGTTCTCCCATTAGCAGCAAAAACACGTTTGTGGATGGATCTTCTAAAGAGGTTGCGAGTGGTTGTTTGAGTTTGATTGCCGACGTCCCAGCAGTGGAGCAGGTCTCCCTCATGTTGTACTGGAAGAGCAGCGCTGGAGGAGAAGGGCGTGGCAGGTGTCACACACTCTGACCGGTTTAGGAGATGCTGGCAGCGGAAGCTCATTGTCCGAGCAGCTGTTGCAGAAAATCTCCCCACAGTTCCTGCAGTGGTGCTGCAAACAGAGTAAACAAATAATTTGCCTTCCTGATGGGATTGCTCATGTTCTGTCCAGTGAGTACTCAGTTGCGCGTTTCACAATTACTCATAGTTGTACTGAATCACAAGTAGTTCTATAAAAGTCTAATTCTGATGTAAAATAGTTTGAAGTCTACCGTATTTTTCGGACTATAAGGCGTACCGGATTATAAGGCGCAATATCAACGAACGGGTCCGTTTTCATACATAAGGCGCATTAGATTGTACAGTTGTCATTTCTAACCTGAGCCCTAAGCCTGGCCCGACAAATTCGGGGTGGGCTGGGCCATGATAATGTGCCGGATGGTCGGGTCGGTGTTGGGCTTTTAATTGGGTCAGGATCAGCCTCAATCCAATTATATGATAACATGGCCTGCCATACCTTCACCAGCTCCACACGACCATTTCACCGCAAGCTGACCCCTTGAAAGGGGTAAAAAGTTCAGTTAAGTTTCAAATGGGACTGTACTGCCAGGAAGCGATCCATCGCCCAAATGGACGTTCATTCAGCCGCTGCACTCAACGGACGCGCACGGCTGACGACCCAAACAGGTGAGATTCCTAAGCAGACGTGTCAGAGCAGGGTCCGTGTCTGAATAAATCAGACCATGAACTCGAGGTCAGTAAGCACAACCAGAATGAATACATATGGCGCACTGGATTATAAGGAGTTTAAGTGCGCCTAATAGTCAGAAAAATACGGTACATGTAAAGGAGACACAAAGATTCAAAAATAATTATGGTAATTAGATGACGGTTTCTACCTCATCAACAATTATTGATTTTTATTTAACTCATTTAAAGCATACAGAGAGCTGACCTTTCGTCTTGAGATGGAGAACTCCTTCTCACAGAGTTTGCAGTGAGTGGCTTCTTTGTCCTTCAACCAAACTTGACCCCCCTAAAACCAAGATATTTTTTTACTCTAGAGAAAAACAACTAAACTTTCTAGAATTAGAAAGCTTCCATCAAATTAAATGTGAAATTGATGGTTCAAAAATACAAATAAACATAAAATACACTAAATAAAGTATATGAAGTAGATCATTGTGTATGATACAATGGATTAAAATAGGTTAAAGCTAACTTTAACTGTTTTTTTTTTGTGTGCTAGCTTTAAAGAACTGTTACTAAGCCTCCTGGTTTACACTATTTCTGACAGAAAGCAACAGTTCAAAAAAAGTAGTCGCCAGATTTGAGATGGATCTTAAATAAGGATTTTTGCTCTCCTGAGGAATTATGGTGTGATTAGTTATTCCAGGAGACATCAGGAAGCTGCTGGTGATCCACAAATATCTAATGAGTCTTTGCAGAGCCCCGTTTGTCTGCAGCAATGCAGCGCACAGGGATGATGTATGTGACGATGCCTTTCCTGGGAAAACCTGTTTAACATTTTCCTTTTCAGTGTCATTTAAACTTGTTGAAGAAATAAGCTACAGACAAATAATGAAGTTCTACTTTTAGTCCCATTTGTGAACTTACCTGCAGAGCTTTGTTGGCTTCTTTGATGTCCTCAATTTTTAGTTTGGATCTGATGAAAGATAAATGGATTTAGACAGCAATGAGGAAATGAAACAGGAAGTCATCCAACACAGTTCGGGGAGGAGACTGACAGAAAGGAGATTTCGTCTGAAAAATAAAGACTAATGATGAAAAGTTATTTTTTTGTTGTTTTTTATTCAACATTACATACTCGCTGAGCTTGGAGCCAAGTTCCTCCAGAGCTTGTTCTTGGTCCTCACAGATTGTCTTGAGCTGAACGTTTTCGTCCTGGAGACGATGGAACTCCTAAAACCAGTCAAAGTGAACTAGAGACAATGCAACTCAAATTGCTACAGACGCGTCACAAATATATTCCATGCATATACGGTACATATCATGTTTACTTTATTCACCTTTTTCAGTCCATTGATCTGTAGCGCCTCTGTGCTGAGCTGAGACACCGTGTCTCTTTCTCTGTCCAGATCATTGTGTAGCGTCTGTCTCCACTCCCTCTCTATCTTCAGATCCGTCTCCAGCTGCTGGCTAAAAGTCCATTGTAAACACAGACAAGAATATAGAGATTAAACTAAAACACAGCACATGTGGAATGATCCATTTATAGTCCTGCTATTAAACAGGATGACATCTAGGGAGCACAAATGTTGGCGAAATGCTCAAAGTACATGCGAATCTATGAAGTCTACTGCTGTTCAATCTCTGTGGGTGTTTATGCTTACAGCTGCTTCTCTCTGTGTTCGATTTGCCGCTGCAGACTGTCGGCCTTGTTGGCAAAGTCCAGCTTGAAGCGCCTGGATCCCTCCTCGGCTGAGGTGCGGTGCCTCTCTGCCTCCTGTAATCTGCACCATTATAACCAGGGACAAACTCAGGACCATGGAGAGAAAAATCTGGGAGGCGTATGAGCAGGGGGCGAAAATAAAACAAAAAGTGATGGAAGGGAGAATGTATGGGTATGAAGGAGGGTTTAAAGACCCCTGTGGGTGTGAAGATAACAGAAGTATGGGTAAAGGTTGGAGAGAGAGAGGGTGTTGTAATCTGATTTTTTACAACACCACTGAGAAAAACTGTACCACCAAGGGATGAGATGTTATGTGTGGCTCTCCAAAAAAACTTGGGAATACAAAGGGATGATGAAACAATGAAGGAAACAAAATGTACAAGAAAAAAGGCATAGCTAACCCAATTTAGCTTGAGCACCAACAGACAGAATGATCTGTCACTAAGATGACGTCTTGACACCCCTGACATTAATGTTTAATAAACAGATTTTAAAAAATGATTGCCTTACCTCTCAAATATTTATTTGGTTTAAAACGTATAGACAAGACTGATAGTTCTTAGTGTCCATTGGTTATTTTAATTCTAACCATGTGAGGATTACAAGTGGAGTACCTCAAGGCTCAAATCTTGGTCCCTATTTATTAATTCTTTTGACACTATCTTTGTTTTTTTTCCACATACTATACAGAAAAATGTTGTAAACTATTACACGATTACTCTTTTTTGATGAAAAAAAAAACAGAGCACAAATTGCAGCTCTGGTCAGTTTTCTCTTCACTCATAAAATATGCAGTACTAATTATACAAACTGTATAAAATCCCCCACATTCGGATTTACTAAAATCATCTTGTTCACAGAGAACATGTTTTATTGTCTGTAATTTGGTTGGTATTATCAAAAGTCAGCCCCATAAAACTTGGCTATTGGATTGGGGAGATTTGGGGGTCTAATTATAAAATTAAAAAAATTGTCATCATTATAAACTGCTCATATTTCTGCAACAAATTGAGCATGGTTAAAAAATTCAAACTACACTCAGCACTTTCAAAACATTCAACTTTATTAATCACTGTGGTAAAAGACGGTATTTGTGAGTTTTCAACAGCTGTACTGGGTCTTTAATTCTATACAAATTGAAAGCATTATACAGTAGTTTGGTTACAACAGGCAGAAGAACTATTCTTCAAAATATAATAATGATAGTCAGCAAATATGCCAAGACAAACCCAATAATGCGGGTCCCTAAATAAAGGTTTACAGCTCTGAAACTAGTTCTTACATTAGGCTGACTGATGTGTCCTCCACACAGAAAACATGAAGCCTCTAGTCGTACTTAAGGAAAGCTCAACTTTTTCCCATTTTCATAACAAGTTGTGAATCTCAAGAAAACAAGTTGTGTCCAACTCATCTTAAAACTTTTAGTGCACTAGATTTATTCCAAAAACTAATAAGATGTTATGCTGTGGGTGAAACCTAAACTTAGCAGTTCTCAAATTCTCCTCAATAAAAGTCTTCTACTTTCTGCAATACCATCCAGTGGTTGCAACGCACCATTAAACATTGCATGATATGTGTCATGTCTAAAGCCAGATTAACTTGCTTACAACTCATGTGTATAGGCTTAAGTGTGAGAGAACTAGGGACTGATTTCATACACAGATGGGATCCTCACAGCCAGTTTGAAGCAGATCAGGTGTAACACATGCAACACAAACCAGCAAGAGTAGAAGCAGGAGGCTGCACGAATATTTACTGTCTGACTGCACATCTGTAGTGAACCTCACCGACTGGGACTAAATCAGGGCTGCAGGAGAGTTGCCAAGGGGGTTTTCACATTGCTGCTTAACTGTTACACCTGGACAGTGAAACTAAATGTCCTCTGAAGACAGCAAAGCACTTCAGATATCTTAACTGAGCCAACATGGACGCCACTGTGGGACTACGATAACAATATTCTGCTGACAAAACGCTGTTTAAATACAACAGGAGGAACTGTAGTAGTTCTCACTAACTTATCGTCAGTCTAAAATGCACTTAAACTGACTGCTGTACTGGAGAGCGCGTAACTTTTGTGTGCACGCCTAAACATGTGTTAATATATAGTGTATAATTAATTCAAAAAATGTGTCTTTAGTTTATTTAAAACTTCTTTAAAAGACATTCTCTTCCCAGTTAAATGCAGCTGCATGGTAAGCTGTCTGAACATTCAAAATCTGTTTCTAATTTAGTGCCAACATGTCTGGATGTAACATAAAACGTATAACTTGTTGCAAAGTTCACGGTGAGTCCCAGTGTTTGGTTGATGAAAGGGTCTCAGGAACCAAACCAAACATGCAGTCAAGTTCCACCTGACTTTGTGGTGGTTCTTAGATCCTAAAACTGTTGAGTATTGTGTGAAAAATAACAGGAATGTTCAGTAAAGTCCAGCCAGTCCTCAGAAAGAGATATCCTTCACCAGCTTGTACTGGTGCTCTGTGTCTGTGCTGGCACACTTAACAAATGACATGGCAAGTGTTCTGGTCTGACTGAGCAGATCCTTATCACTGCACAGAGAAACAGGAACAAATGAACAACGAAACAATAATCAACAGGAAGAACAATCGAACGTGAAGGTTTCAAAGGAGCAAAATGAATGGAGGGATGGTAAAAATGAGATGAACACAAAGGAGGGAAGAGGAAAGAAAGGAAGAAAGGATGTCAATACATCGGTATTCTAAGTGGCCACAGTTATACAGAACATTTTTCTGACTTATCATCACAAGCATAGCAGCGAGTGTAAATGAGATGTTAAAACCAAGGAGTCTGATTTCAGGCTGCCATGTGCACACTGTAATCAGATTACTACAGACTGGATTATTTCCTTTCATAGTGAGCATGACAAATGAGAAGAGGTTGGGAAGTGAAGGAGGGGAAAGTAATGGAGTCGACAGATGATTATAACTACATCTGACAAATTATGAACATTTCAGGGCAGGCTACATCTGAAAAGAAATGCTGAGTTAACAAAATGAAAGCAACAACAAATTACAAAAAAAAAAAAAATCTGTTGTAGCTGTTTGTTTGTTTTTGCCACTGTTAAATGATTAGAATTTGTCTCGTTAACTTAGTTAGACTTTTTATGAACCTAAGCACAAACTCCTTATGAAATCAGGATCTGTGTCCTGCAGCGCCAGCCTACATCAACCTTTGGAGCAACAAAAACGACCAATCACAAATGAGACGGGTCATATTCAAGCCAATGGGACAGCGGGACAGATGGACTGTGTGGACTTACAACGGCAGGGGCAAGGAAGGATCATAAAGCATGGATGAACAAGCAGGCAGCTACGTAATGACAAATGTGAAGCACTTCAACTTTGGATTGATGAAGATCTTTGCAGTTTCTTATCAGATATTAGAAATTAAATAGGCCAGGGTTTCCACAAGGAAATCACTTAATGACTCATGTTGTTCTGCAGTTAATGTTCTTCAGAGATTAAAGCCCACCACATCTGTGTATCACTGAAATGATTTGTGTTTCAACCAAGACGATGTTTATTTAAAAAAAGCTTGTCTATTCAGACCCAGGGGTGTCAAACTCACTTACAAAAGGGGGCCAAAATTAAAACCTTTTTCAAACTAAGAGACAATTTCAGAATCTACATAAGCTCAAGTTAGATACTTAAAATCTTTTCTTGGTTCCTCAACAAGAGTTTCATTGGTCTCATTTGACATTATCTGCAGCACTTTTGACATCATAATCAAAGATTACTGACAAAATTCAAGTGATAATATTTTATGTTTAACATATCATCTTGTGGGCCAGATACGATGTCAATGAGGGCCACATTTGGCCCCCCGAGCCTCGAGTTTGACACATGTGAGAGTGACATAAATTTGATAATTATCTTGAGAGCTATAGCCTACAATCATGGGAAACATTTAAAGCAAACAATTTGACCCTTTTATTCATTTCCCAAAGGAAACCCAAATTCTTAATAAAAGTAAAGGTTTAAATAATTTGCCCTCCTTTTCTTCCCACTTTTGTTTTGAACATTTACAATTACAATTATTTAAACATTCTAACTAAATATTACAATGAAACATTACCAATTCTTAATACCTTTCTAATCCGGTAACAATATAATCAAAATATTGTAACTTGTTTTACTGGAATGGATCTGAAAGACATCAAACTTTGCTAAAAATAAATAAATAAAGTTCCACATTGTCATTTCAGAGCGCTGTCAAATAAAAATAAATAAATAAAACTGAGAATAAGAGGACCTGATTTGAACGTGTCTCAGAGAAAATGGTCATTTATTGGGCGGATGTGATGATTTACAGGCAGTATCTCACCTCTGCTCCAGCTGCTTCATGGTGGCAGTGATCTGATTGGTCTTCTCCTCCAGACGACTGATCACGTTGTTTTTCTTCTTCATCTCCTCATCGGAGGACTAAGAAAGAAGAATGACTGTCTCTTATACCCAGCAGTGAAGATTTCCCATCTCATCCCATCTTCTGGATTATATGATGACGAGTAGGTTTGTGACGTTACCTGCATCTTCTGGTACATTTCTACATTGATGGCTTTAACCTCGTCCAGTTGTTGCCTCAGTCCGATCAGTGTGTCCTGTTCATTAGAAATAAAAAAACTTCAAGCAAGACTCAAATGCTCATTTTGACATGATGTTATGAGAATGAATGAGTTCCAGTTTACAAATTTGAAATGATGCAGTGCTTTTATTTCACAGCTTTGCTCTAAAGGTCACTTAGCATTTTTTCCCCCTCAGGCTCCATGTTATTGGTATGTAGCCAGAAATTACCAAAAAATGTATAATAAATAATCATTACGCATATTAGATTTGATTTATTTTTAAAACAAGCAAGTACTGGCCTGTTTTTCATGAATATCTTTTTCAAGAAGCTTCATAGCCAGCTCCATTTCCTGTTTCATCGACACCTGGGCCACCAACTCGTTCTCCACATCCTGAATATGAACAGAAAACTCGTATAACCTGTAAACTGATTTCACGTGTGATTAACAAAAATATTACATCCACACATCCTTAGTCTGACCTGTCTCAGTTGGCACTCCTCCTTCAGCTGCCTCCTGGCCTCGTTGTACATCTCATCCAGACCCTGACGGGACTGTTTGTATGTGTCTCTCTCCACAGACACGTTTTCTTGAGTAACCTACATAAAGGACATCAACAAGAACAAAAAAATCATGTAAGCCTCAGTTCATTTTGGTTTGTGATAAGAGCTATCATTATTACTGAGTATGGAGAACCAGATCAACTTTCATTTTCTGCTTCATCCATTCATCTTCTACTGCTTATTCATGTTGCAGAGGCAACAGGTTCAGGAGAAAATCCCACACATCTCTCTCCAGCACCACTCCTGCTGCTTCTGGGGGATTCCAAGGTGTTCCCAGGACAGACAGGAAATATAACCCCTCCAGCGAGTTCAAAGTCTGTCCCGGGATCTTTTCCAGTGGGACGTGCCTGGAAAACCTCCAAAGGGAGTGATATAGAAATTATTATTTTAATGCTTTTATGCCAATCTAGACCTATATTATACTTATTTAAACACACTTATACAACGTGTTATTCACATATTAGGGATTGTACTTTGTTTAACATGTCACAGAGACAAAGGGGGGAATGATTTATGTTGCCTTTGTTAATATTTGGGACATTCTTTGATGGTTTGCAGAGGGATGGAGGAGTGCGTATTTCCTCTTTAGGAAGTTTAAGGAGTATCTCTAACTTCAGGGTCTTGGCCCGCCTTGAGGTCACCGTACTCCTTCTTTGTAATAAATCACCAGCTCCTCATCCGTTGTTCTGGTAACCATCAAAACTTGCTTTGATCTGCTCTCACGCGATCCGGTCAGGGAAGAAGGTATATAAGAAATGTATCAAACAACTTAATCTTTGGAAGTCCGGTGTGGATCAGCACGCGCTGAAGTCCATGTGCCATTTTGATGTGATTCTCCTTTACCTGGGTCGAAAACGACTTCCCGGCCAGTGTCACGGTGAGAAGTTATTTCATATCAATCTGTGTTAAGAGTGTACGAGTGTACATGTTTGTTTTTTGCTCGGTTGTTTTCTGTGGCAGGATAATAAAGGACACTAATTTATCCTAGCAGTAACAGCTTCTGTCTTTTATTTTTTCCTTCTGGTCTGAATATCTGTGCCGACCGTTTCACGAGCCCTTTTGATAAAGAATTTCACAATACAGGGAGGTATCCCAGTCAGATGCCTGAACCACCTAAACACCTTTTCATGTGAAGGAGCAGCTCTACTCTGAGCTCCCTCCAGATGACAGAGCTCCTCAGCTTATCTCTAAAGTTGAGCTTGGCTACATAATGAAGGAAGTTAATTTCTGCTGCTTATATCCAGGAACCTTTTTCATTTTTCACTTTTTTTTATCACCTTTTTCCTGATGATCGTTTCTTCTGGTATTGGATTCTGTGCAGCTGGAAGGATTTTTACTGAAACTTTTTTTGTTTGGACATTTGTTATGATGCGTAACCATAACAATAAGGTGATTTTCTACAACTGATTAACATCTCAAAAGCTCAAATAATATCTCAACTACAGCCCCAAATCTAAAATGAATTGAAAAGGAGGCATCGTGGATGCATTCCCGTCTCCCTGCTGGCTGTACTAAAGTGCCTGATCACTGAGATCCTGGAACTGGCAGGAAACATGGCTCGTGACAGCAGAAGGAATGGGATCGTCCCCCGGCCGGCTGTCTGCAGTGACGAGGAGCTCGGCAGGCTGCTGGAAGGAATGGCCATCGCTCTGGGAGGAGTTCAGCCCAGCATTCGGGTGGTCCTGCAGCCTGGGGGAACCGAGAGGCCAGCCGAGTCTGGGTGGACGGATCGGACAGCATCTGCGGCCAGTTTCTTCTGACCCGCTGTGGGACGGACCTTCCTGCCTACAGTCATCAATAGTTGTAACATCTCTTAATGAAATGAGGATAATGAGTTACAACAACATTTAATTTCCCTTTGGGATTAATCAAATGTTTTTTAATTGAATTTCTGTCGTAATCTAAACATCATGACCATAGCTGAGGGTTGGAACGTAGACAGAGCATGGCCGTTTGATTCAAATCTTTATTTACCGCAACTAATCAAAGCAGCGCCCTCATTACTGAGGACAAGGTGCTAATCCATCTCCATCATCCTCCATCACTCCCAGATACTTGCTGGAATTAAGGCAAAGGCTCATTCCAGATACAAAAGGAGCAGTCCACCCATTTTTCAGTGCACGCTGAAGGTCGTGGCCCTAAAACGCCTACAGAACCAGATTATCTGCAAAAAGCTGAGACGAGACTCTGAGGTACCCAAAACAGACACTGTCCACTCCATGACTGGGCCTTGAGATCCTGTCCATGACAAAAAAACAACAGGATGCCACCTTCACAGGAGCCCATCACCTGCAAAGAAGACTGTGGAAGTTGTGTGCAATGCAAACCCTGCAGCAGGTGAGGGGGAGTCCCTGTACATGCCAATTCTTGGTGGCATAAACAATTTTTTTGTTGTTGTTGTTGTTGTTGCTTTAGTTAAAAATCAATGTGTTTGTGATCATGTGTTAGTATATTCATTCAATCTTTATTTAGACAGGTTAATCCCACTGAGCCTCGAAGACTCATTTACAAGAGAGACCTGATATCAAAGTTCATGCTCAATCATCTAGGTTTAAAATCCAATAATGGTCAGTCAGATCATCTGGACAGCTTCTTTTTTGTAGAAAGACGTTTCACCCTCTATCCAGAGGGCTTCATCAATCTGAGGAGTCCCAAGTAAACTGTTTTCCCCACTAAGCAGTACACTCTTTTAGTGGACCAACCAGTTTGCTGGTGACAAGATGGTTTCTGGGGGCTGTCCTGTCCCATCTTATAACAGTTTACTTGGGACTCCTCAGACTGATGAAGTCCTCTGGATAGAGGGCAAAACATCTTTCCACAAAAAAAAAAAGAAACTGTTCAGATGACCCGATTTACTATTATTGGATTTTGTACCTGGATGATTGAGCATGAACTTTGATGTCTTGAACCACTTTGACCGTGGCTACCTGCCTGGGAGGAGTCAACAGGGGACAGGACAGCGCCCCCAGAAACCATCTTATCACCAGCAAACTGGTTGGTCTACTAAAGGAGTGTACTGCTTAGTGGGGGAAACAGTTTACTTGGAACTCCTCAGACTGATGAAGCCCTCTGGATAGAGGGTGAGACATCTTTCCACAAAAAAAGAAACTGTCCAGATGACCTGACTGAGCATTACTGGAAGAGTTACTTTACCTCTAAATGCTGTTGTGCCTTTAGCAGAATCAGGTTGTTTTCACCCCTCAGTTGCTGGTTTTCTTCCTGCAGCTTGATGATGTTGTTCTTTGCTATGGCGAGCTGCAGACACAGACATTTGAGGAATTATCAACAGTGTCAGTGATGCTCTGTGATGATAAGTTTAGTTTCGGAAAAGCTTTTTTTGATGCTGGTTTTTACCTCCTCTATGAGTTTGGAGTTGGACTTCTCTAGAGTGTCAACTCTACCCTGAAGACCATGAACTGTGGAACTGCACACAAAAACAAAACTTAACATTCAATTACCGCATTCGCAGACTCAGCATTTTCTTTTCTTTTTTAAAGTATGAGTTTGTGATCGTAGTAGCTATAGTATTTACAACCGACACGTTACATGCATGAAAACAGTTTTTCCTTCAATGAGTAATGTTTTGAAAAGAATCTTCAAGAACAGAAGTCCTACTTCAGCTGTCGGTTCAGTTCCTCCACATAGTTCTTCTGATCCAAAATGGATGCTATCTGGCTGTTCCTGTTGTCATGGCAACAGAAATAAAACAGATTTGGAGAAAGATATCAGCTGTATGAATAAGTGGAGAAACGGTAAAAGAGCGTACCTCTCCTCACTCCTGTAATCATCAATGTCATTCTTCAAGTACATGGAGAAGTCGATCACTCCAACCTAAAAAAAAAAAAAAAAAAGAGCAATAAAAGATTTGGACAACTGAGAATATAACAATTCCACAAAATTATTTCCAACAAATAAGTCATTGTGCCTAAAGTTATTGCAATCCATCAACCTGTTCAAAGCTTTGTTATAAATGATAAAGCGTATTGAAATTTTAAGATGAGCATTTAATGAGAACAGTCTAGAAGTCTAATAATCTGATATTTTTCTTTTCCAAAAACAAATGTCTAACTTTCTTGCAATATTTTTAATTAGTCTTGATGAACAGTTAAGTTGAGAGAGTGAATGGTTGTTTGGCTCGTTTGTCTCTATGTGGCCCTGTGATGGACTTGCGACCTGTCCAGGGTGTACCCCACCCCTCGCACTGTGATGCTGGATACGGGCACTGGCGACCCCCGTGACCCAAAATGGAAGAAGCGGGTAAAAGATAATGGATGGATGGATGGAACAGTTAAGTTTTGAAGCTTTTATGGACTGATTTTTCACTTCATTGAACCAACTTTCACAGATTATTTTTTATTTTACTAAGCCACTGATCTATGCATCTTTTATGTATGAAAATCCTCCTAAGCTTGAGGGATGAACCAGCGTTGTGCTGACACATGAATTTAATTCAACTCAGTTTATTTATATAGTGCCAAGTCACAACATAAGTCATCTCAGGGCACTGAACAGAAAACAGCTTAGGAAAAAAAGAAGTATAAATTGTCAACGTGTTCACATCTATGAAAATTTAAAAAAATAACACAGTTTGACATGTTACGCTATTAGCTGAAATATCCTGATGCATGCTCAATAATCCAATAATCTTTTTTGGATATTAGCTGAAATCTTCAGATACAGTAATGAGCAACTGAATGATGCATCTCAGATCTTGTGCCAGGTCTTTGTGGATTTTTTTCTTCTCGTTTTTTTTAAAGACAGCTTTCAGACACAATTCATCTTGGTTGAAGGTTGAAAAAAATCTTCTGTAGATCATTTTTAAGCCAAACGCTTCTTTATTTTTTTTCCATGTGTGTATTTGCTTCTTCTTTCAGTTTTAAACAACATGGGATACATTTTCATTGTTATGTTGATGATACACAGTTATATTTGTCCATGAAACACAATGAATCCAATCAGTTACTTAGACTACAAACATGTCTTAAAGACAAAAACCTGGATGACCCTTAATTTTCTGCTTTTAAACTCAAACAAAACTGAGGTTTTGGTTTTTGGACCTGAGCACCTTAGGAATACATTTTTCAGTCTTTCTCCCTCAGATGGCATTAATCTGGCCTCCAGCTCTAATGTTAAAAATCTTGGTGTTATTTTTGATCAGGACATGTCTTTTATCCCCCACATTAAAAACGTTACTAGAACTGCCTTCTTCCACCTGCGTAATATCACTAAAATTAGAAACATCTTATCTAAAAATGATGCAGAAAAACTGGTTCGTGCATTTGTCACGTCTAGACTGGACTATTGCAATGGTTTATTATCTGGGTGTCCAAACATTTCTTTAAAAAGTCTTCAGTTGATCCAAAATGCTGCTGTCAGTGTCTTAACTGGAGTTGGTGGGAGAGATCATATCTCTCCAGTTTTAGCTTCTCTCCATTGGCTCCCTGACAAATCCAGAATTGAATTCAAAATCTTACTTCTAACCTACAAAGCTCTCAACAACCTAGCTCCATCTTATATTCGAGATCTTGTTGTTCCATATTTTCCTAACAGAGCAATTTGCTCTCAGACTGCAGGCTTACTTGTGGTTCCTAGAGTTTCCAAGAGCAGAATGGGAGGAAGATCTTTCAGTTATCAGGCTCCTCTCTTATGGAAACAACTTCCAATTTCTGTCTGTGAGGTTGACACATTGTCCAGTTTTAAGACTGGACTTAAGACTTTCCTTTTTGATAAATCCTATAGTTAGGGTTGGCTTGGGTTTCCTGCACTATCCCTTAGTTATGATGCTATAGGCTTAGACTGCTGGAGGACAAACGGACCACATTTTTTCACTATACTAAGGTTTACTTACTCTGCTCAACCTGTTTTGTATTTGTAATAATTTTTTTCTATCCTTGACATGTGTTTTTGTCTTTCAGGTACACCAGCACCTACATCTGGACCTGCCATTCTGTGTTCGTTCGTCTCTCCTTTCTGTCCTCACAAACCCAGCCGGTCGAAGCAGATTACTGCTTGTCCTGAGCCTAGTTCTGTTGGAGGTTTCTTCCTTTTAAAAAGGGAGATTTTCCTTTCCACTGTCGCCTTGATGCTTGCTTAAGATGAGAGTTCTGTGATGGAGGCAGTCTGCTCCTCAGATAAATAATGTTAAATTATTATTTTTATGAATGTTTTTGTTAACCTATTATTTTTATATACAGTACACTGCTCAAAAAATAAAGAGAACACCTAAACAAAACAATGTAACTCCAAATCAGTCACACCTTTGTGGAATCAATGTCACCAGTTAGGTAGTAACACTTATTGTGAATCAGTTTCACCTGCTGCCGTGCAAATGGAACACACAACAGGTGGAATGAGAGGCAATTAGCAAGACAACCCTTATAAAAGAGTGATTCTGCAGGTGGTGACCACAGGTCATTTCTGTTCTCGTCCTTTCTGGTTGAACTTTTAGTATCTTTTACATTTTGTCAGTGCTGTCACACATAGAGGCATCATGAGGTGTTTTTTACAGCCCACTGAAGTTGCTTAAGTAGCGCAGCTAATCCAAGAGGGAACATCAATGCAAGCGGTGGCAAGAAGATTTGCTGTGTCTCCCAGCACAGTGGCCAGAGCATGGAATAGGTACCAGGAGACAGGCCAGTACACCAGGAGACATAGAGGGGGCCGTAGGAGGGCTACAACCCAGCAGCAGGACCGCTACCTCATCCTTCGTGCAAGGAGGAACAGGAGGTCCACTGCCAGGGCCCTACAAAATGACCTCAAGGAGGCCACTAATGTGCATGTTTCCACTCAAACTGTTAGAAACAGACTCCATGAGAGTGGTATGAGGGCCTGACATCCACATATAGGGCCTGTGCTTACAGCTCAACACCGTGCAGGACGACTGGCGTTTGCTAGGGAACACCAAAATTGGCAGATTTGCCATTGGCGCCCTGTGCTCTTCACGGATGAAAGGAGGTTCACACTGAGCACATGTAACAGACGTGACAGTCTGGAGACAATGTGGAGAATGTTATGCTGCCTGCAACATCCTCCAGCAAAACCAGTTTAGTGGTGGGTCAGTCATGGTGTGGGGAGGCATTTCTTTGGATGGCCGCATAGCCCTCCATGTGCTAGCCAAAGGTGCCCTGGCTGCCATAAGGTACCGGGATGAGATCCTCAGACCAATTGTGAGACCATATGCTGGTGCAGTGGGCCTTATGCATGACAACGCTAGGCCTCATGTGGCTGAAGTGTGTCAGTAGTTCCTGCATTAATGTTATGGACTGCCCTGCCTGTTCCCCAGACCTGAATCCAAATGAGCACACCTGGGACATCATGTTTCAGTCAATCCACCAAGTCCACATCGCACCACAGACTGTTCAGGAGCTAACTGATGCTCTAATCCAGGTCTGGGAAGAAATCCCTCAGGAGAACATCCGCCATCTCATCAGGAGCAGGCCCAGGCGTTGTTGGGAGGGTATACTAGGTTATACGAGGTTATATAATCTGTTGGACTCCTGGCAGGGACCAATGCAGACATGTTCCTGTTTTTAGTTTTCTAAATTCACCTTATAATCTAGCTGGTTTTTGTTACTTTTTTTTACCCATCTTATTTGTAAAAAAATTAAAAATCTGTATTCCTTTTTATAACTGTCTATTGTTGTCACTGTTGTCCATTGTTGTCAACATTCTTTGTGTTGAAATCAGGTCTCTTGTAAATGAGTCCTCGAGGCTCAATGGGATTTAGCTGTCTAAATAAAGGTTGAATGAAAAAATACAGGCACGTGGAGGCCACACACACTACTGAGCCTCATTTAGACTTGTCTTGAGGAATATTCACTGATGTTGAATCAGCCTGTCATGTTATTTTCCACTTGCGTATTGAGTATGAATCTAAATCCAGATCTCCATGGTGTAATAATTTTGATTTACATTGATAATTTTTGTGTTATTTTCTTCTCAATCAATTCCACTGTGCTAATAATAAAGTTTGTCAATGGGAATATTTAATTAATTGAAGTCTATGACGTGTTAAGTGTTCCCTTTAATTTTGTGAGCAGCACGTTTCTGTTCAGTGCCCTGAGATGACTTCTGTTGTGACTTGGCGCTATATAAATAAACTGAACTGAATTGAAAAAAAATCTGTCCCACTCACCTTATTTTGTTTGTAGTTGAGCATGCGGTAATGAAATTCAGTGATTTATTTGCTTGAACCTAGCAGCTGTGTTAGGACACGCACATAATAGCACTGTGTGGTTTTAAAAAAAATGTATTGTTATATTAATTATGTTTCTTCTTTTGTTTTGATTACCTGGTTTGGGGAGTTGCTGCTTCCTGGCTGGGAAAGGGGTGTGGCCAAAGGCTGAGCATAATGCCAGCGCTGTAGGACCAACCATGTGCTTGTTAGCAGGGGAGGAGGAGGGGGGTAAGTTTATTTAGATCAGTTAGTATCAGTTAGTATTGATGTTTAGTTGTTTCCCCTATTACGTGTAAATGGTCTGACCAAGTCACTAGACCAGTCTTCTGTGTCTTTGAGGGACATTTGGCGAGTTACGGTGTACATTATGTTTTGCTTAGTTAATATTTTGTAAGTCACTTTTTCAGTAGTTATGTTTAGTGGAGCTCTTTTATGAGCCCATTTATTATATTTTGATTATTTTAAATCTTTTTTTTTTGGTGGGGTGAGAAATAAAGGCCCACTTGGAAGACATTTCTCTCGTCTCCTCTATGTATTCATTGCTTGGTCCCTTACATTGAGCAACTAATGGACATGCGCTACAGAGCAACACCATCTGGTATTTTTTAGCACAGTTACTGCAGAGCAAGGGTTAAACAAATGATGCAAAACTGTGTTAAATCGTTAAAATGCTGTTTTTACAAAGCTGTTACCTGAGAGTCCAAGTCTTCGCCTTTGACACACAGATTGGCATCAATGACGTTCAGGCCCACCAGCAGGCCCACAATCACTGCTCCCTCCTCCTCCAGCATCAGCGCTGAATCCTCATAAAAATCACTGGGAAGCACGTTCCAAGCAATTCTCATCAATCCCCAGCACAATTATCCTTAAAGTGGTGCTGAGAAAATAAGACAAGTACATTGTGATGCGTTTTCTCCGGATGTACCTGAGGAGGTCTTTTCGGGTGATGAGGAGTCGCAGGTAGTCGGCCAGCCGTTTCTGCATGAGAGCGAGGCGCAGCCATGCTCTGGCTCTGCCCAGTGGAGTTCTGAGAAACACAAACATGCACACCAGTGATGAGGGTGGACTCTAAAGAGGTTGCAAAGTATGTGTTCAGACACGCAGCAACCTCTCTAGTGTCTTTAAAATCTTTATGTTGGAAAAAGCTCATTTCACATTTTTAACAATAGCTTACATGTCCTGACTTGAGTTTTCTTTTTGTTTTGTTTTTTACATTTGAGCTTGTAGAAGATAATAAACCTCCTTTTAAAGAAAGTTTCATTTTTTTCAGTATTTGTGCAACAAAACTGTGTTCTGACTCAGCACTACCAAAGGGGAAACTGTGAGCTTTCCACAAAATAGCACAACTGTTCCTCATTTTTGTGAATCAGACAGTAGTCTCACAAAGTTTGCTGCTGTCTGGAAAATCATTGTTCAGTGTTAACTTTTAACACGTTCCAGTCGAAAAGAAATAATCCAAATCCGTTTTCTACAATGTGCCTGATAATAAACTAAACTTCTAAATAATCGTGTTCTCTTGCTCAAAAGTGACGAGATTCAAACAGATACATGTCTTCTGCACCTGATTGTCACATCTTTTATACAATTATCTGTGCAAAAAGTAACAGTGTAATAAAAACAGAAGCTGCGTAGTGGTGAAAGGTGACGTGAAAGTGAATAACACATCCCTGAGCTGGCTCAGGTAACAGTCTACTGTTACTCCAGTTTGTCAGAGTGATCCTTGCAGCTGATGTTCCTCCAACAGCAGGTTGGGTCAAGTTAAATGAGTCCAAAGGAGCATGAATTTCTTACTTGAGTCCAGGAAGGTCTCGTACTGAAGCAGAGATCTCTGCTGCTTCTGGACACAGTTTCTCCACCAGCTCCAGAGGACCCCACAGAGATTTGTTAAAACCCAGGAAGGACTTCTTCACTGCAGAAAGACATTTGAACGTGTAAGCACATCAATCTACCACGCAATATCCAAGCTCCTCAAAAATAAAAATGTTTTGTCACCCACTCTCTTACCTTTAAGACCATGTTTTAGACAGTGCTCCATGACCACAAAGAACTGCTGCAGAGGAGGGTAGTCCGAGTCCAGCGTTCGTCCGAAGCTCAGAGCCGACTCAATGAGGCCTTTGATGCTGAGCTTTGCCATGTTCAGGAGGTTGGCTCGCTCCATAGCCATGGGGTCCCGCATGGCTGCAGAAACAAGGTTTACAATGAACTCGTCAAATACACACAGATGCTGCACAACCAACACGTCTACATAAGAATACCTTTATTAAATTAACAGAAGTACAGGCAGGAGTAAATCACTAAAATACAAGCAAGCACCATTTCTTTCTCCATAATATAAAGTCTGTAAGGTCTTTGAATAATAAATTATGTGTACAGTGGTCCTTCACTACTTTGCAGTTTGTTTTTTGGGGACTCGCTCCATCTCGGTTTTTCACAATAAGATTGGACATGACACACAAGTGGCTGATTGATGGATGAGCAGCGTGATCGGCATGGAATTTTTATTTAAAATAAATTATTTTAAATTATTTAGCACCTGCTGCACCTGTGTGCAGTCCACAGCTGCAGAAGCTTCCTCCTTCAGAGTGTCGTATTTCCGCTCTGCTGAGGAACAGCGGGCGTGGCCGAGAGCGCTGGCAGAGAGCAGCGGGAGGCAGAGAGCTGAGATCATGACATGCTGTGCTCTTTTAGAATACTAAAATTAACTACTACTTATACTACTATTCCTACTTCGCGGTTTTTCACTTATCGCGGGGCTTCCGGGTGCGGATCCCCCGCGATAAACGAGGGACTACTGCATAAGCCAAAAACAAAAAATAACTGCTCTGATTTCTACAGATTGACTAACTGGTCAAGTCATGTACAAACTATTTCTTAAACTGGAGAAACAAAAATTAAAGTGCCCCTTTATTTATTAACTCCTCTAATGTAACCAAGTCAATAAATCTCACTTAACTGGCTGTTTGTATGTCAGCATTAAGCAGATTATTCAGACAAGTTCATGCTTTACCAAAAACAGACTTCAGTGTTGTTTTAAATAACCTAAAAAAAATCTCAGTGGTTTACAGACAAACCCTAAAGCTGTCCACTAAAAACCGTGATGGCTGTGAAGAAACCAAGAGAAAGAAATAAAAAGCATGAGATTAAAGCTTCTGTTTTTACTGTAAATTATAGATTCTGACCTCCTGTTTGACAGATTATTTAAGCAGTCTGTATTGAAAATGTTGATCCATCATGTAGACAGTCTTAAAAAGGGGAAAGCCCACACGGTTTAAAGGCTGAATGCACCTAGAAATTTTAAAAAATGTATGGTTGTGTGTTTGGTCAGTGCAGTAACTAAAATCAAGAGTATCTAACAATTGTTATAAAATTTTAAATCCATTGTAATTACTTGCCTCAGAAATAACTTGTTTATGTTAGTAACTTATTTTTTAATTCATTCAAACTTTATTTATACAGGTTAGTTCCCAATACAAGGGAGACCTATACATTGTCAATGTGTCTTTTGCATGATAGGGGAATTGCAGGACCAGATATTGTATATTACTGCTGAAGTATGTTTTTAAATGTTTCACACATGAAACTTGAGTTAATGTGTAGCTAAATATCAAGGCAGCACAGAGCAAAGTCAGAGGGTCAAATGCTGCTGCAAACTGTCCTGAGAATGTGACAGATCATACGGATACATACTTGGGTTTTTTCAAAGGTGAACTTTTGGAGCACATAAGAGCTTAAAGAATTGAGAACCATGCAACTACCTGTATCTTTAAGGTACAACACAGACTGAAGGTTAAACCTAAAGCTTCTGAAATCCTAAAAAGTTGAAGAATGTCATTAATGTAAATTGTCCTTAAAAGTAATCACATTCATATTTTTCGATCAATCATCGTTTATTTATAAAGCCTTTTACAAGAGCCAAAAGGTGCACTGTGTTTTAATGTAGAAAAGTTAAAAGCAGGGCAGCATGGTGGCGCAACTGGTAGAGCTGCTGCCTCTCAGCGAGCAGGTCCTTGGTTCAAATCCCGGTCCAGGGGCCTTTCTGGGTGGAGTTTGCATGTTCTCTCCGTGCATGCGTGGGTTTTCTCCGGGTGCTCCGGTTTCCTCCCACAGACCAAAAACATGCATGTTAGGCTGATTGGTAACTCTAAATTGTCCCTAGGTGTGAGTGAGAGAGTGAATGGTTGTTTGTCTCTATGTGGCCCTGTGATGGACTTGCGACCCGTCCAGGGTGTACCCTGCCCCTCGCACAGTGATTGCTGGACATGGGCACCGGTGACCCCCGTGACCCAAAATGGAATAAGTGGGTAAAGATAATGGATGGATGGATGAAGTTAAAAGCAAACAATAAAAACAATATAAAAATGCCAGAGTGCCACTTTATTAAGTCAATGTCGTGGCAGTTTCACACTCCGAGCATATGAAATATGAAATGCACAATAAAAGATATGAGATTCTGAAACCAACATGTGCTTCATATAAAACTACCTGGTCATATTAGTTGATTGGGGTAATTCAAATCAATACAAATGCGATGAGGTGACGGACATCACATTGTATTTAGCTGTAAGAGGCTACAGCCAAAACAGATGGGGGAAGTGATAACTACAAGCAGTTAATGCACAATGAGGAGGAAAGACAAAAAAGTTTATTTATACACACCAGTGGATAATATTTCACTAATCAGTAAAGCTCTAATCCATTATTTTTATTTTATTTAAACCAACACCTGTCGCAGTCCGGCCAGGTCACACCCTGTGATGCTGCACATACCCTACCTTGGACGGTCCAGTCTCCTGGGAGCGAAGTCCTGTGTTCCGACACTTTGGGCAGTACGTGAATGCTCCCTGAGATAGTCTCGGATGCTTTTCTTGCCAAAGCAAAAATCGGAGCCTGCCACCGGCCGTCGCCTCCGCCTCTCACCGCGCTGCCGCTCCCGCTGCTGGTAGATTTATTCCCAGTGCCAGTTTTCTCCTCCTGTAGCCTCAAAATCCCAAACACCTGAGCTTTCTCTTTGCTGCTGTCTGCTTCGGACAGAGCCAGGTCGTGCTCTGCAGTCGCTGCCATGTTCGGGTGCGTTTGATCCCGGTGGAGCTAGCACCGGGGAGCGGTGCGAAAACAGCACAATTTTACGTGTGCTAACGGTTAGCGAGCTAGCTTTCCTGCACGAATTACCATTTGATCGTCGCATAGAAGTCACCGCGACAAAGGATGACAGAATTAACGCTCCAAAAAAAAAAAAAAAAAAAGAAACTGTCCTCCTATTCCAGTGTCCCAGTAGGGGCTGCCAAATCTTTACCAGGTGTCAATCGAAGATGAGCGTTACAACCTGGAGCGACAGTACGGAAAACCGATTGTAGGAAAACTGCCTTTTTCCCCACATCGTGATGGTGAACAGGTTTGTTTACAGCCAGTAACCCTGAGTGTAGTTGGCGTCTGCTCCGTCCCGCAGTTGCACCCTCCGGAGGGGCGGTGTCGAAGGACTCACGAGACACAAAAGGCAAGCACTACGTAATGATTTGACCAGACCGCCGCTCTCTCGGTCTGCTGCCCCCTGCCGGTGAACGCTAGAACTGCAAGGCGATCAACGCACATTTGTGTATTTAATATCCCTGATATCAAACATAATTTTCGCCCACTACTTTGTGACTACAGTACTGTACACTGCACTAGTTGCACATTTGGTTAAACGAGTTCAACATTTTAGTTCACTCTCAACAAACAAGTACTTTTTTTCCTACTAGTGGCACGTATGCCCAACAAGTTGGGGCAAAAATGTATGTTTGGACAGTCTAATACCAGTATACTAGTATATTAGACTGTCATACTAGTTAGTAATTTTGCTGCACTAGTAGTCCAAAAGTCCCAACTAGTTAGCCTTTAACACACTTGCAGACCACTGAACCAACATAAACAGCTGGGGTCTCTGGTATGAACTGCATATAAAGCGCCAGGTTCTGCGCACATATCGGGGTATATCAAAATTAACATTGCGCACGTGTGCCAAATACATGAAGGTGGGCCTGTGATCGGAAGGTTGCCGATTCAACTCCCTGGACTGACATCAAAAAGTGGATTGAAAAGGTGAAACACCCACACCTGCCTTCACCCTCATTTGCCCCACACTGGACCCTTGAGCAAGGCCCTTAACCCCCACCATCTGCTCCTCTGGGCACCCTATGGCAGCTCTCTGCTCCACACAAAGGGCTGTGGTAGCTCAGTGGTCTGTGATTGCTTCAGGAACGGCATCCGGCGTAAAAACAATTGCCAAGTCTGTGTGCAACTGTGGCGACCCCTGAGGAACGGAAGAGCCAAAAGAAGAAGAAAAAAGTGTGCCAAATACATTTTTATACCCCTTTAGGAATGTCTCTGACTCTCATCCCATTACAGTCCTCATTTTGCTGCATCTAGACATCATTTTTTTATTGTAAACTACAGTGTTTGCTGAATATGGCACCAAGACTTTTAACAGGTTATTGCTTCAGATACCTGCTTGAGGGAATTTTATGTCTCTGTTTATCTATAATTTGACAGAATGGACTGTGAATAATGTTTCCACTGAAACAAGAATATAAGACGAGCTGCATCTAATCCTCAACTTTACATGTGCTTGAATATTCCACCATTCATTTTAGTTTATAAAAGTTTAAATTATATATTCAGAGTACAGTCATAAAAAATGTGTTTCACTATTGTCTTGCATCATTAAATCATTGTGATGTTATTTCCTTTTTATATAAAGTTTATGTGACGTACTTATGCATTGGTTTGGGGTATATTATACACCCAAATGCTTTGAGAAGAGTTTTTGTCAGGCATCAAGTTGACAGTTATCATTATTCAACTATTAGAGTCAGTCATTCAAATATCAGCACCCATCATCCATACCTTGGCTGCAGGCTAACCGCTCCAAACTCTCACTGTGAGTGATGCCCCAACGATGGAGACTCTGAGGGGAGTACATGATGAGAGGGACCCTCACCCAGGAATCATCCCTGGGTGGTCCAATCTGAAGAGGTTTCTATGGATCAGGCTGTCAGGTTTTCTTGTTTATTTTACATCCAAAGTGACTGTCGCTCCTGCACCGTGGTGGATTTTTATGAAATGTTCCAATTTGATTGAGCTGAGCCACAAACTCAGGACCTGCTTCTGCTGGAAAAACACAATAAACAGTAAAGACTATCAGCCCACAACAGATTTAAATTACATTAGATATGCAAAATAAACATACATTTACATGAAAAGTCCTTGACAAGCGAATATTTGTAGTGTTGTCTCACTAACATCAGTGATACAATGATAACATTTGAGGAAGTGACAAAAATCAGATTATGAAGACCCATTTGAAGTCGGCAGTGATCATCACACATCCTGTTACTCTCCTTATATAAACACGTTACAAGCATGAATTATAGATGCTGAAATAGCCATCACTTACATGTACACAACTTCCAGATTAAATGTGACTATCGTGCACTCACCACAAAAATTTACAGTTTTCTTACCAAGCAATGCGCATCCAGTGGATTCCCACTTTACAATAATGTCTGAAAAAGCCCTTTAACCGTATCTTTCTGTATCCCTGGCGCTAAAAGAAACGGAGCTTTTCTTCCTGTTGTGCATTTTTGTTGCATTCTCACCCTCTCTAATCACTCAGGCCTGACCAGAGATCATATGACTAGCTCTGAACACATCTGCGCCTCTTTAGCTGTTTGTATACTGCCTGTTTTAACTTCCTGGAAGGCTGTTTCTCACTTCTGAAAGCAGAGGGGAAACACTTGCAATTTTTACTTATTTTCTTTAATTACTGTGTCAGTAATGTATCTATAATAAAGTTCAGCTTGTCGTTTATATTTAAAATACCTGTTTTGCGTTTGATTTTTCTGCAGCGCAAACATGTTTTACAGCTGATAAAGTGCAATGAGAAGAAATTGATTGAGACTGTCAAGGAACAACAAGATATTTTTACTTTGGAAGAAACATAGATTTAAGTTTTACTATTCCAGTCCAATAAAAAAGTATAAAATCCAGTATCCATAATCCCACTGATTACATTTGGCACTGCTTATTATAAAATAAATACTTTGTAAATTAAATTAAAAATGACCAATTTAATGCTGCATCATGCTAGCCCTTCATCTCTAAACCACACCTAAACAACACATCAGTGTGTCTTGGTACCACTGAACAACCAGCCAATCACTTCACTGCATGGGAGTCTTATTTTACTGTTGTGATGCTGTTTCATAATAGAAACATTTCAATGTGCAGCAAAGCTGCAGATAAAATGCAGATAGTCCAAGCATCTCTGAAGCAATGATTGAACATAATTAACACATTCATGATTTACACACATGAAGAATCACATTGAACCTTGTAATGGCATCGTTCTTGCTGTATACGTAGTAAACACACTCATTCCTGACTAGCTCCAATGAATTAATCATGCGCATGATCATTGGGTTACTGCATCCTACCCCAGAAGAAGCAGTGATTTGTAGGCTTTCAGCTTGTCTGCAGTCTGTGCACATGGACTTTCAGCCAGCGGTTCTTCAAAATCTGGACAGGATGAGCTTGATTCACATCAAAGCTTCAGGGCCTCAGGTCCAGCTGCTCCCAGAAGAAGCACATCAGCAATGATGGACTGAAACCGATGTATGTCGATCTGTATTATTCCAAAAATACACCGAGGCTGCAGCGTCATGAGTTTCTGCCGTTCAGAGGCAGAGCCGGTTCATGCTCTGGGGATGTCACTGACAGAAACCACAATCATCACCCCACACAGCATCCAATGGTGGGAAAGCAGCAAGGCTCAGAGAAGGGAGGGGCCTGGGAGTAAAAGAGCAAAGATGGAAGAGGATGAGGAGGAGGGATGCTTGGGGAGGGTATAACAAAAAAGAAGAGAGGTGAGTTGACCAAAACAAAAATGCACAACAGGAAAAGAGCACAGCAACAGTTAAATCCATCGGTCAGCTGGATGAAATGTATGAAGTGATGAATGGAAACATCAGTTCTGCTATCGTCCAATCAGAAGCTGGCTGGAGGAGGAACATGTTGAGACGGTGAAGCGATTGGATCATTTAGACATGAATGAGTTTGCACCAAAAAGAATGAAATCGTATCTGCAGCTGGAAGTTGTTCTCAGATGAGTCAGGTTATTTTTCAAGACACTAATACAACTTAAAAAGACGGCATGATTAAACATTTAAAATGGAAATATTTCAGAACACAGTGTATTTTAAGGGATTTAAATAAATTGTATTTTTACAGGGTTGGAATTTTAATGAATTCCTCCTGCATCTTTAGCGCCAGTATTGTCAAATGATCTTTCAAAGCCTCGCCTCACGATTGTTCTTTTTTGATGGTGTGCAAATTTGCGTTTATTTACAAGAGCAAGATTATAATTAAATGTTTGTAAATGGAGCGCAATATGTAGAGCCAAAAATAAAACATCCGTGTAACAATAAAATATTTATTGGTCAAATATAAACAGTAGAAAAAGCCCTCTTAAGGTAAATAAGTGCAGGTATTAGAAATTTCTGTGCCCAAGTACAAGAAGTCGGTGTTGTGTTCATGTTTTTGGTCATTAGGTTGTGGTCTTTT